TTATCTCATGGTTTGTGTGTTTATCGATAATGGCTGATAGGATATTTCGCCCATTTTAAAATGACTGATACGTCTTGTAAAATTTGCGTCTATGTCACATACTACCGCAGTGGCTAAGGTCTATCAATTTCCACACAGCTTTTAATGATTCGTGAATTAAAGGATAGGTTACTTGATTTTGTTACGTCCATATGATAAGAAGATGAAGATTATCAAAACTATGTGATATATTAGCGCAATACATTTCAAACAATCTGGTCACACATATACTTATAGGGAAAATCTATACACAAAAATATAAGATCAACCAGACTAGAAATGGAGGGTAAGATGAGACAAGGATAATAAAGTAAAAAATAATGGGGAAACAATTTGAAGCCTAATCACTCTTGATAATTAGCTAATATTGCCAGAGTGGGTTGAAGGTGAGAACAAACGTTTTCTCAATATACAAAAGGGGTTTGAATTTTCAAATGGCTTAGGCTTCGATTGTTCAAATACGATCAAGCCTGTTAAATAGGCACCTTATCAAACCTCGTTTGTATTGCACAGGGCAATAACCTTATTAACTCAGGCATTGGCCTGTCTATGGTGCTTTTCTAAAAATGGATCATTTGATTAAGCCATCTTCTCGTCTACTTAGAATTATATCTAGGAAGGGAAGCTGGTCATTCTTCTCTTCTTCGCATGAGAGACTGATGCGGTTTCGGAGAGCGTTAAGATTATTCAATAAGCAGTTCAAATCTTCCCTTCTTTCACAGACAACTGAGATATCGTACACATATCTCTTATAAAGTGACACGTTTTCGATTAAATCTTCAGACAGATTTCCAACATATGCCATGATCTCATCTGCTAATAATAGTCCTAACGGACTACCCATAGCAGCCTCATCAACCTGACGAAAGTATTCATCTTCAAATGTGAACTGGACTTTGTGAGTACATAATAGTAGTAAAGCTTTAAGAATTTTTAAATGGACAAGTAATTTAAGGTTGTTCAAAGATATGTAGTCACGTAATGTGATAATAGTCTTTTTCAAAGATATATTTGTGAACAAGAAATTCATGTCAAATGAACACATTGTCTTTCCCTTGATATTAATATCACATAAATTATTATTATTATTATAAATAATCTTATTTTTAGCATCTTATGTGTTTATATCTACTTTCACATTCTTTCCCAAGTATGCGATTCACTGTTTATTCATTTCCCATGTCCTTAACCTACTACCTCTAAAGAAGCATTGGTTCAAGCTTTTATTATCACTATCACAGCGAGTACACCTGTCGTTAAACTGTTAATGTACAATTATCCACTTATAACTATGGTTAATATAATCTATTACATTGTTATCACTGACTCATAAACCACCTTGACTTGTTTCATCTTTTCATATTTTTATACAAACACTACTGTGTAATGGAGTAAAGCCTGATGAGGTCCTGACTGAAGACAATACTGTCCACTTATTTGTGTTTTGTCTTAGTTTAATAGATTCATAAATTATTAACTGTTTATGGTTGTCTTAAAGATTACTTTTCATATCACAGTGATTGATTCTAACCTTTGCACAAATAGATCAATCTTTTCTTCTGCGTTATCGTGTACGCTTTTATTTAAGCGCGTCAATTATCGATTTGCAAGGTTGATTATTTATACATGGACATTTGCGTCTGTGTGTTGGCAATTACTTGCTCTATTTGTTACTTTTCTGTGGCCTTCTTTCATCTTTCTGGATATAAATATTAAGTCACACTTAATAAAATTGAATAGGCTAGGAGGTTTTCTCCATATTGCAACTCTTCCCTACAGTTTTGTTCCTTGAGATCAGTCGCTTATTCATTGAGCTTTGGTCGTTCTTCTTAACAACAAAATTAGCATGAAATCCTGATGGAAACGAGCGATTTTAATTTCTCTGCATATGATCGACAGCTTGTCCTACAGATCCTGATCTTTTATGATAGTTTTTAACGTTTTTACTTCAACCGTTTGCATATGCACTGTGGTTGTCTTTTCCTTTGACTTCATTTTTAATCTTATAGTTGTCCATAACTTTTCGAAGTTTAGTTACGGGGTTGCTGATTATTTGATTTAGATCATGAATCACTCGACGTTAGAACACCACTGGAAACCTTGAAGCACTGGACGGCCGATTCGTTCAAGTATGGGACTCCTAATCAGGTCAATTTCACACATTGCTGTTGGCCTCCAAGACCTGTATGCGTAAAACAAATGATACTGAAAACACCTTAAATGTGTGCTACACGAGTGCTCGTATTCTTTCAAATAAAATGTTCGAGCTAAGTTTGGTGATGGATGAATTGGTGCCGATATATTTTTTTCACAGCAACTTGGCTCGCTATAAATATAGACAGTCCTATCATCATTGCAGGCTTCATATTTATTAGAAATGACAGAGTTATAAGTCGCAAAAGAGAAGACATAACGTTTTATGTTAAGGATCACTTTTGTATACAATCAGTCATATCGAAGGCGCGTGTTGGTGGAACATACGAGCTAGCATGCCTTACAGTTAAGTCTAGAAACGGGTTAGTGGTTAAAAGAAGAATATAACGTAGTCTTTGTTGTCTTGCTCAAGACTTTATTTAATGACACATCTATTCTTGGAGTAAGGAAGAGTGTTGTCTCACCATTTGAGACTTCAACACACCCCATATCAACTGGATAGTGCACACAGCTTCAGGTTGCGGGTTTCGATAGCGATATTCTATCAGCAATTATTCAGTGTGAACTTGTACAATGTATCACAAAATTGACACATAATGACTTGGAACTTGACCCGTCATTGCTGGACCTGGTCCTCGCAAACCACTGTGAGGATATCATCGACATTTAGCACCTTCCTCCTCTAGTCAATAGTGATTACGTCGTACTTTATTTTGAGTTTCGGACACGTGATATACAATTTGTATTGGCTACACCCTGTCGCAATATCTGGAGAGCTAATATTCCAGCAGTCAGAGACTGTGCTATCTCGACTGACTGATCGTTCGATTTGGATGGATCAATCGAAGACGAATTGAATAAGTTCAAGGCTACATTCGAGTCCGTAGCACCACAGTTTATCACATAGTCAACACCTAAACTACCACATTGCTCTCCATGGAATAATAAGAAAACCCGGAAGCTATTGAGGCATTGGAAACACTTCTCGGACTTATTCTTGTCAATAAGATATGCATAATTCATGTGTGAATACCAAAAAATTCCGAATAAATGTAAACAGTCCATAGCTAAATGTCACACTGCTTACGAAAGACACATAGTTTCTTATAACCATGCTTTCCCAAAACTTTTGCTTTCCTACATTAAATGAAGAACAGAGAGTGGTGAAGGTATTCATCCATTACTGTTGCAAGAAAATTTACATTTACTAGCTGAATCAAACCTCGTCAAAGCGGAGACTTTATCAAACTACTTCAGCGACTTCTACTCTACGTGTATTGTTAAAGATGTTTGTCCTAATCACACCGAGATACCAGCCATAGGACATGTACATGTAACTGAGGATACTGTTCTTCCATTGATAACTAACCTCAGACCCTATAGGATACCGGACCCTGATGTGTTACACCCACGACTGCTGTCGTCTCTTTCGGATATTATTTTAAGACTATTCGCGACTTACTTTAACATGTCCCTTTCACTCGCTCAACTACCTAGAGACTGGAAGGACGCTGTAACTAAAGGTGATTCGAGCTAACTTACTAAGTCACATAGATTCGTACAATCTGTTAACTCCCGAGCAGCATGGGTTTCGTAAAAAGGGTCTTTCTAAACTCCCTTACGATGAGTGTTTAAAATACTTACACCTTTCCCCCCTTGTCGTATCGTAGGACGCGAGGTGACCTTATACTGGCATTTTGTATCTTTAATAATGATTAGGGTGTTAATATATCTTATCATTTTACTCCCTCTAGCACTGGTAATCTCCGAGGTTATAGCAAGATGGTTCACAAATCGCGATCTTATAAACTTAAAGTGGGGCGCCCTTCTTTTCATCGAGTGTTCAATGACTGGAACGGCTTACCCGAACAAGCGATATGAGCTCAATCAGTGAATATTTTCAAGGAGAAGCTGGACCTTCACTGGAAGGCAATCTGTCAGGATTAATACAGGTTCATCAGCCTACTATCTTTATTACAGAATACTGAATGGTACTCTTTTCCAGTTATGGAGTGAACATCAAATATGAGATGCAGGTACATGGAATTGGTGAATCCCATATAGAACACAACTCGCATCCTGGATTCCACTACTAGTTATCATTCATTTTTGCATGAAATGCTCGTGACTCAATCGTAATATTGAGTCAATTCGCACACGATGCATATATATTAAAAACTAATAATCACTTTCAGTCTTAAATATCAGCAAGAAAATTCAAACAAGTAATATTTTAACCGTAAATAATTCCCAAAAAATTAATAGCTTTTTAAGAGCTGGACATTGGATGCTGACCATATTAGTTTTAGTGGACTTGTTTAGCTGAAGGTGTTCGGTCATGCATCCGCACCAGATCACGTTACAGCATTGCGTGGGAAACATCTCCTACGATCACTAGCCAGATTAGATCAATCGCTCCTCGATATATTGATAACGCATCAAATATATCCCCCAACCTCTTCGCTTTTGACTTCTGATTTTAACTGGTTGAGCACGATTCAATTATAGAAGGTGTCACTGGTTAATAGTTGTCAAACTAAAATACTGATGGTATCTTTGATACAAACGAATTAATTAGTTTTGACATCAACTGACACCTCTGCTTATCAATCAGAGTACTTTGACTTACCTTCGCAACCATGTCAACAAGTTTAGATCAACTTGAATGCAACTACTCAATATACAATCATTGCTCCGAAAGTCTTAAATATTTTAGAAACCATCATTTGACAATTAATTTATTGAAATTATCAAACAGTAAATAAGATGAACAGAACAAGAAACGAAGAGCTATTCATTAGAATATGTTATTTCTTTACAGATTTCTTAGGAACCCCTTTTCTTGGTTTCTCTATTTTAGTTTCATTTTTACAGTGCCTGAAATATATAATCAAAGAATGGACTTTACTTGTAAAGAAATTCAATGATATAAAATTATTTTATTTACTTCTTACTTAAGCCTGTAACCCCTCGTCGAGAAGCATAGGCCTCATACCAGAATTCTCCATCCAACTCTGTCCTGGACAATCATTTCCGGTTCTTCCCAGTTAAAATTCATCCTTTCCATGTCTGCTTCTATTTCCCGACGTAATGTATTCTTTGACCTTCCTCTTTCACGCTTCCCTTCCTGATTTCAAGTTAGCAATTGCCTCGTGATGCAGTTTGGTGATTCCCTCAATGTATGTCCTATCCACTTCCAACGTCTTTTTCTAATTTCCTCTTCAGCTGGAAGCTGGTTTGTCTTCTTCCATAAAACAACTTTTTATAAATACTTGTTCCTTGTTGACGATAGTTGTAGTAGTTCTCCACGTTTCAGCTCATTACAGTAGGACTGTCTTGACGTTCGTATCGAAGATTCTCACTATGAAGTTGGCTGACAGTTGTTTTGAGTTCCATATGTTCTTTACTTGTAGAAATGCTGTCCTTGCTTTGCCAATCCTCACCTTTACATCTGCATCCGATCCTCCTTGTTTATCAACGATGCTTCCTGTTATGATTCGTATAACAATCGTTATTGTATATGAAACGTGCAATGATACAGAAAATACGTACGAGCAGTCTTGATTGCTATTCGGTCCTTCCTAACTGCCTAGCCCAGCCAGTTGAGTCCAGAACACAAATAACAGCCTCGGAAATATGAATCATTATTCACAAGCACACTGGGTTATATATACTAACCAAACAGACCCAATTATACCAAAAAATAGAAAAATAACATTTGTACAGTAATTGGCCAATGTGGCTGTAGCTAGGGGGAAAGTAATCAATAATAATAGTTCCAAGGTCAAAATAAAGGTTGTGATAAGAGGAACACGGAAACGATTAGGTCACTTATTTAACAACTATCCAATAGGGAATGGGCATATTGTATTTGTCCATAAATAGACATCAGATTTAGGTTACTCATTTAACAACTATCCAATAGGAATAGGCGTATTACATTTGTCCATAAATGGACATCAGATTTATGATTCATAATTCGCCAGGGGATACAACACCTCCCCTTTTTGAGAAATCCGGAGTTGATATCCGGATTTTTAATTTCCTCGAATTCACCCTCCCCCACGAAAGACTGTTGGATCCTCATATAGCCAAGTTACTATTAATGCGATATGTTTGTCACCTTTAACAGGGAATGCATTAGAACTGAAGAGATCATGAGGATCGACGACATTTGATTCGAGGTCACCAACATTTGATTCTTCTGAAATAGTTTTCTTGAATTTCCTCGGAACCTCATTAGTAGATAATGAATCATTAGGATAATCAGTATCTATGAGAGTTGTATTGGATTCTTGATTATCATTAAATACATCTGACATTTTTCTCTCATTTTTATAAGAGAATTCAACAGAAACATATGAATCATCAAAATAATCTAAATCTGGTAGAACAATTACAGAATTTTGATCATTAGATTCATTAGAAACATTTTCCGTATCATGATTAATTTCATTTGGTGCCACTGTATTCCATATACTGCTCGATTTGTTTCCCGTTTCTTCGTGGGCGGGTACTGCAGCAATTTCATGAGCATTTTGCAAGACATTTACTTTCTGTGAATAGGATAATTCATTGTTTGCACGTCCGTTTTCGGGATTAATAAGACTTGGACCGTGTACAGGGCATGTCTCTGAAACAGGTAGTACTGGGTTACTGGGCTGATCATGTATAACTGCTGCGCTTAAATTATTGCTTTGTATGGATTCATTGAGGCTTTCGCCGGCATATTCATTAGTTCTGTAACTGTTTTCCAGCTCTGTACGCAATTTTGAAATTATTGCGTCAACTTCCGTTTCACTCCCAAAGCATGGGTGATTCAGCAGCTTCGCGTGTAATTTGTCAATGAAATCCAATTGACTCTTTCTGAAGCGCTGCTCTTGTCGCTGGATTAGCAACTGAAATTGGTCGGAAGTTAAGGCCATTTTTTTTAATGTAAATAATAATAATAAATCCAAAAAAAAACACCGGCAATTATTATGGATTATTTAATTCCGAAATGACGTCAGCGGCTGCTGTATTTTTTTCCAGAATCCCCGTCGCCAATTGTTATGACTCGTATAACAATCGTTATTGTATATGAAACGTGCAATGATACAGAAAATACGTACGAGCAGTCTTGATTGCTATTCGGTCCTTCCTAACTGCCTAGCCCAGCCAGTTGAGTCCAGAACACAAATAACAGCCTCGGAAATATGAATCATTATTCACAAGCACACTGGGTTATATATACTAACCAAACAGACCCAATTATACCAAAAAATAGAAAAATAACATTTGTACAGTAATTGGCCAATGTGGCTGTAGCTAGGGGGAAAGTAATCAATAATAATAGTTCCAAGGTCAAAATAAAGGTTGTGATAAGAGGAACACGGAAACGATTAGGTCACTTATTTAACAACTATCCAATAGGGAATGGGCATATTGTATTTGTCCATAAATAGACATCAGATTTAGGTTACTCATTTAACAACTATCCAATAGGAATAGGCGTATTACATTTGTCCATAAATGGACATCAGATTTATGATTCATAATTCGCCAGGGGATACAACACTTCCCAGGTACGTGAATGTTTCCACCTCTTCCAGTGTTTCGCCACCAAGTGTGATTAGATTGGTGTTCACCGTGTTGCATTTGAGAATATTGTTTTTTCCTTTGTGTATGCTAAGGCCTATTGATGCAGAGACTGCTTCTACATTTGCTGTCCTCGTCTGTATTTGTTCGTGTGCATGACATAGGAGAGATAGGTCATTTGTGAAGTCCAAATCGTCACATTGGTTTTGAGATGTCCATTGTATTCCGTGCTTTCCCCCAGATGTCGATGTCTTCATAATCCAATCAATCACCAGAAGAAAGAGGAATGGGGAGAGTAGACAGCCTTGTCTGACTCCGATCCTTACTGGAAATGCATCTCTCAGCTGTCCTCCATGCACCACTTTGCACTGTAGTCTGTCGTATGAGTTTTGGATAATGTTGACAATCTTTTCAAGAACTCTATGGTGTCGAAGAAGTTTCCATAATGTTCTCCGGTCCGCACTGTCAAACGCCTTCTCATATTCAATGAAGTTGATGTATAGTGCCGAATTTCACTCAATAGATTGTTTAACGATGATCCGCAGTGTCGCAGTTCGATCTGTACACGACTGATCCTTTCGGAATCCAGCCTGTTGATCTCGTCTGATATAAAACTATAGTGCAGTGAATTATTATTATCAGTATTAAATGGACAAGTTTAATAGAAAGTTCCTTAATAAATTAAATCAATAATCTAATGTTACAGTAAGTGTATCAATCAACTTACTGAAATACTTTACGTGTACCAGATTTTGCTTTGATTTCTGCTTCAGTTGGCCTTTTTAAATCAATTTTTGTAGTACATAATATATCTTTATGAGTAAGTAATAGATCTGAAGTTAATGACATTTTTTCTTCATGATCTGTAATTATCATTGCACCTAAATAAAGATAGTATAGTGAATGCGAACACTATTAGGGGCAACTAAATGTATATAGATTCGCTACGTAAAATGTAAGAACCATATGGTAAATACCTCATTTCCAAAACATTCATCAATTGACTAAGAATTTGTTATTTCTTTGTCTCCATACTAATCATTCTCTGTTCTCGTCTACTTCTTTTAGATTTTCTCAGCCTCCTGCCGCCAGGCATTCCATTTTCGATTAGTGATATATACTACTTATATCTGTCGGTATCAGTAGTACACACACAATGGTAAAATTAAATACGGTTATTATGATCAAATAATTGGTTTTGACAAGATGGGTTTTTTTAGCTGTAATCACTTTAATTACTGATTGACTCATTATTTATAATGAGTGATAAAGTTACATGGACTAATGGTTCTTAAAATGTTTTTGACATATGGAATTTAACAAGTATCTTCACGATAACGAAACGAAATTCTACTAATGTATTTGCCTCTGAGAATTTGATATCAAATAGTGATTAATTTAATAGTTGAAAGCATGAGTCAATCGAAGCTAGACCACCAGGATTGGTTGGAGTTAGACATAAACACCATCTGATGGCAGCTCGGTGGTCTATCGGTTAAGTGCTCTGGCGCGAGACTGATAGGTCCTCGGTTCGAATCTCACGATACGAAATCGTACCTCTCGCTTCAAACGCCATCGCGTTATCCACTCGGCCACTGAGTCCTGATAGCCGCTTGCTTGTGCGATGGGGTGAAGTTTAAATTCATTGAGTATTGTTTGTTTGAATCTTCCAATCGCTTTTGTCAGGACTGCAACTGGTCAGTCTCTAATTGGCATATGTGCATACTGTGCGTATTGCCTCGATATAGCCTTAATTCACAAATATGGTAAGCAGAGATGGATAGTGGCTAGCAGTGGAATCCAATTTGACGCGCGTTTCGTCCTATTTGAGACTCGTCAGCTGGATCTCTGAGTTGCTGTTCACTCTGGGACTGTTCACTCGAACCCAGTACCATTCGCTTCAAACGCCATCACGTTATCCACTTAGCTACTAAGATGCAGATACATCCAGTTGACAAGTCTCAAATAGGACAAAACGCGCTTCCTGGATTCCACTGCTGACCACTGTCCAGCTTTGTTTGTAGTGCTTGTGAATTAAGGCTGTATCGAGGCAATACGCACAGTATGCACATATGACTGATCAATTGCAGTCCTAAACATCAATGGTAAGATTCAAACATACAATACCAAGTGAATTCAAAGTTTCATGTTTGAAAATGCTTAAATTTATCCTCAATTTACTTTGAATAGATCTTTAATACTTTAAAATATATTATAACACAGCAAGTAATACTAAGAACTTTATTAAATGACTACAATGAACTCATTAATAGACTTACCACTTTTACTGATTACAAATGGTAATTTATAAACATCAATCTCTTTAGTTATTGATAATTCAAATAATAATGTGAAGAGTAATATAATTGGATATAACATATTTACTCTGTTAAAAAAAGGAAATATTGAATATCAGAAGTTGTTTTTATGGATATTTTAATAGTTGAAATCATGAGTCGATTGAAGCTAGACCACCATGGAAAACCTGGAATCACTCGACGGCCATTTTGTCCTATTGTGAGACTTCTCAGTAGTGCGCATTGACGATCCCGACTAGCAAAATTCCAACCGAGGACCTATCAGTTTCGCGCACGAGCGCTTAACATCAAGACTACTGAGCCAGCCGGCATTAAACAGTGCTAATGTCTAACTTCAACCAATCCATGAAATTGAGCGACACATCCACTATTATCTTTAATGAGTTACTATCTCACAACAGACCTTGTTAAACTCCACTAGTCACTACATCTCACTAGAACTCTAGGAAATACCTCTTGAAGCCAGTCACTAATGAGCAAATGTTGATTAATATCAGAAGTGGTTTTGTGGATATTATATTAATTTCAATAGTTGAGATCATGAATCGATTGAAGCTAGACCACCATGTAAAAAACCTGGAATCACTTGACGGCCGTTTTGTCCTATTGTGGGACTTCTTAGTAGTGCAAGATTCGATCTTCTGACGTTTCGTAACTTAATATAAACCACTTCTTCAGTGAATAAATAATCAAATTAAAATTTACTATTCTTACATATTTTGCCTTTGTATTATTTGAAATTGAATTAAGTTTTTTATTATTAGTATTTATATTAAATATGTAAATAATTAATGTCTTCATTATTGACCATCTTGTCAATATTAATTAATATAGATAGATAGATATTTTTGTCAATTTTTGTCAGTGTAAAAATGTAAAAATTCTTCTCTATTTGTTATTTTTTTATATTTTTTTTAATGAATTACATAAATATCAGAAGGGGTTTTTGTGGAGATTTCAGTATTTTCATAGTTGAAAGCGTGAGTCAATTGAAGTTAGACCATCAAGGAAAACCTGGAAGCACTAGACAGTCGTTTCGTCCCTTTGTGAGAGTCCTCAGCAGTGCTCGACCACGATCCCGACTCGCTTAATTCCAACCCAGGACCTACCAGTCTCGCGAGAGAGCACTTGTGACTGACTTTGAGAGGTAAATTAAGGAGCTCTAGTGAGAAGCAGTGACCAGTGGAGTTCAAACCAGGTCTGTTGTGAGATAGGAACTCACTGAAGACCATTGGTGAACGGTTGCTCAAACTTCGTCGATTAGTTGGAGTTAGACATAAACACAGTCGGATGCTGGCTCAGTGATCTTTCGGTTAAGTGATCTGGCGCGAGACTGGTAGGTCCTGGGTTGGGATCTCGCGAGTCGGGATCATGGATGCGCACTGCTGAGAAGTCCCACAATAGGACGAAACGGCCATCCAGTGCTTCCAGGTTTTCCCTGATGGTCTAGCTTCAATTGACTCACGTTTTCAACTATGAAAATACTAAATCTCCACAAAATCCCTTCTCATAATAATAATAATAATAATAATAATAATAATAACAATAATGACTGATAACTTAGCAAATCAACAAATTGCATGAGAATAAAAGCAAATTGGAATCACGAACAACCAATTTATAATTTATACATAGTTGGCTTCATTACGATTTAAAAGTCTTTTTTTGAGGTGGTGGAGATTTGTAGCTCAGGTGGGTGATTTTAATATAGGTTTGTTCTCTGAGCTGGATGGTTTGGTTGTGGAGCTTTCATCATCCTTCTGAACGACATCATCAGCACAAACTTCGAGTATAAGTGAAGCATAGGCCACCAACCACCATTCTTTAACTCACTCTGTCCTGGGTCTTCCTTTCTAGTTCTATCCAGTTATTGTTCATTAATCTCATGTCTGCCTCCATTTCTCGACGTGATGTATTCTTTGGCCTTCAGGATTCCATGTGAGGGATTGCCTTGTAGTGCAGTTGGATGCTTTCCTCAATGTGTGTCCTATCCAATTGCACCGCCTCTTCCTCATTTCTTCCTCCACTGGATGGAATCTAGTTTGTTCCCTCCCAAAGTAGGTTGTTGGTGATAGTGCTCAGCCAACGGATCCCAAGTATTTTTCGTAGACAACTGTTAATAAACACTTGTATCTTCTGAATGGTGGCTCTCCCGGTCTCCCACACGGTACGAACATTCTATTGCTCTGGTTGCCAGAAGGGGCGTCAGCCTCGTGGCTTCCGAAGAAACTCGGCATTCACCATGAGAAGTCATAACTCCTATGAATGAAGAACTTCTGACTCCCACGGCAGAGTTTGAATGGTTTGAATAAATTTTTCTGGTTATGGTTTTTTAGCGAGTTAGTTTTCTAGGGGATGGACTTGCTAACCCTATGTCCAACCCTCCTCCTTTATCCAGGTTTGGGACCGACAGTAACCCCAGAGGTTCTGCAGGCGGATTTACGTATATATTCATAAGGAAATAATTCATCAGCGGCTTTACAACCTGCACTATACGTAAAATCAACTTAGTATTGTTTGTTTGAATCTTCCAATCGCTTTTGTTAGGACTGCAACTGGTCAGTCTCTAATTGGCATATGTGCATACTGTGCGTACTGCCTCGATATAGCCTTAATTCACAAGCATGGTAAGCAGAGATGGATAGTGGCTAGCAGTGGAATCCAGTTTGACTCGCGTTTCGTCCTATTTCGAACTCGTTAGCTGAATATACCTGCATCTCAGACTTGTTGATGTTCACTCTGGGACTCGAACCCAATACTCTCGCTTCAAACGCCATCGCGTTATCCACTCGGCCACTGAGTCCATCTCTGCTTAACATGCTTGTGGATTGAGGCTATATCGAGGCAATACGCACAGTATGCAAATATGCCATTTAGAGACTGACCAGTTGCAGTCCTAACAAAAGCGATTGGAAGATTCAAACAAACAATACTAAGTTGATTTTACGTATAGTTCAGGTTGTAAAGCCGCTGATGAATTATTTCCTTATGAATATATACGTAAATCCGCCTGCAGAAGCAAGTGGCTATCAGGACTCAGTAGCTTGAGCGATGTGGTGGCTATCAGGTCTCAGTGGCCGAGTGGATAACGCGATGGCGTTTGAATCGAGGGCACTGGGTTCGAGTCCCAGAGTGAACATCAACAAGTCTGAGATTCAGGTATATCCAGCTGACGAGTCCCAAATAGGACGAAACGCGCGTCAAACTGGATTCCACTGCTAGCCACTATCCATCTCTGCACTATACTGTTTCAAAACGCACCAACTGATGGACATGATTACAAACACAGATATCGTTTATTATCCTAATTATATACTGATCAACAGTATATAATTATGAATAGTCATAACAAAAATAAGTTTTTGATTTCTTAAGAATCCGGTAAGACCCATTTAACTTTGTGTGTATGTTTGTGGGAGAACATTGTGCCACCTATATTCACATTGTTCAGTACACATAAACTTGTGAATTTCTCGCCATTTTCGATCCTTTCTCCCAGTCCTTGTCATACCATGATATATTCATACCCAGTGTGGTATATTCTGACTTTGAAGTTTAAATCACTCATCAAGATGGTCGGCTACTTTCCTGAACACTTCACTATGATCAATTGCAGCCTCCCGTAAAACTGATCTCTGTCGTCATCGTCTAAATCATTGGTTGGCTCATAACGCTGGATAATATTCATTGTTATTTCCTCCATCTTTCTTTTGGAAGATGCTTTGATGATCCTGGATCCATGAGATTCTCATCCTATAAGTGCATTACGTGCTTCTTTGGACAGCATCAGAACCCCCGGAGGGTGCCGAACATTTTCTCCTCCATGACCACAAAACAGCAAAATGTCTCCCTAACTTATCCTTTTCTGTCCAGCTTGAATCCAGTAAATTTCACTTATTCCCGGCACCACCAATTTGTATCACCTCGTTTCCGTAACTATTTGACTGACCTTCTAAGTCTCTTACATTGTCCGAACATTCCATGTATCTATAATAATTGTTGTTTCGATTGTTAAGAACATCGGTCTAGTGACTTCCGAACAATATCAGATTTCAGTATGAGGTGTCATAATTCTTCTAAATGAAGATCTTTCAACTCCAAGGGCATAGTTTAAATGGTTTAATTTGTTTATTATGGCTAGCTTTTTTAGCAAGGTCGTTTTCTACTGGATGCGGTTGCTGACCCTATACCTAACCCTCCGTTAAGCGGGCTTGAGACCGACAGTAACCCTAGAAGACCTATAGGCGAAGTTAATGTCTTTACACGTTAAAGTGTAATTTATACCAATATTGTATGTTGTTTTTACTGTATCCAAAAACTTTATTTAACGAAGGAGTTATCACTTCTACTTTAGTGATTGCTACATTCCTGAACTAATTAGATAGCATAAAAATTTGTGGCGTTTGAATTTTATGACTAAGAACGTTCTTCCCTCAAAAACTTCATAATCTAGACTACATTAAACGTCTGTATTCCCGATCATTTGCTATCCCTTTACGAATATTGACAATGCTTAATAATGGTTGATAAATCAATATGTTTAGTAAGGTATGTGGATATTGAAAAATAGATATAGTACTCAATCAATGAAGTGATTGTTTCTGAGTTTCAACAAGGTTAGCCAATCTGAGAAATGATCATACTCGTAGGTTTGACACGTCGTAACATCTCCTCTCAGAAGATCACCATGATTAATGAATTAATCATTACACTAATCGAATAAATTTCCTGTTCATAACTATGTTGGTTCGTAATTATTTATCACACAAAAAATAGTGTTCTTAATTAATTATCACCTGGTTAATCTCCAAAACTGCATGTAGCCCCTCCGGGGGCTACTTCCAGTCTCAAGCACGGATAAAGGAGGAGGGTTGGACATGGGGTTAACGACCCCATCCCGTATAAACCGAACTCGCTAAAAAACGCTAAACACCATTATTAAAATACATTTATCCATACAAACAGTCTAATGATTCGACTCTTCTACTAAAGAATACTTGATTATATCACAATATGTATAGTACATTTTTAGGCCGGAAAGTAAGTGAAGTGAAACTTTATCATCAGCTTCCATATACATCAATTCTAATTAAACTAAAAATCGAGTTTTGAGAGTTTATTTGGACGTCGGATGAGTAAGTGAATTTTTGACTGAGTAATGTTTATCCTGTTTATTGTAACACGCTAATTCATGCAATGCTCCTTAAGTACAGTTTATTTCTCAGTTGATTAATTGAATGTTTGAACAGAGTCATCTTTAAGATTAATGATTGATATCTAAATTAATTTTCGAGTTGAAATCTATTAAACAGTTAGTTCAATCGTATTGTGGTGTATGCTACTTATATCTATCGATATAAGTAGTATGTAAAACCAATTAGAAATGGAATGCTTGTCGAAGATTGCACTAAAGTAAACAGGAAGGGTAACATAAAGGAATTGGGAATTAGAAAAATCAAGAAGGATTGAAAGGACAATTGATGAAGGATTTGCAAATGAAGTATTTAATGTATTGTTTCCATATGTTATGAAATAACTGTAATTTTGTATTAAGCAATAAATTTGTTGTTCCTACCAAGTCTTTGTTCACTATAGTACTTGTTAGATGTTTAGCATTTAATTCACACGCATATATCTATGCTCAGATATAACTGGTTCACTTCTGATACAGAGAATGGTGAATGTTCAACTCTTCAAAAATCATACAATTACATTACCGAAGTAGTGCACAATTAGTAATTCACTACTCCTGAATAATGATTCACAACTCGTTGGTCACTCAGTAGTGACCAATTTCATGATCTCCTTCTAGGCGTTTTCAGAATGCTATTGATCGACTTGCAATGTGACTATTAGTCTAAGTGACCTGACGTCACGTGATCTATGTTAATATATTAGGTGATCAGAGGTATTCGACAGGAAACCACCGACAGAAGTTCCATGCTCCTTGGAACTCGTTATTCACAACATTAACAACTTTTACCGGTTTCTGAGTGATTGAAGCCGCATTTCATTCAGCCTATTATAATTTCGTAATTGTAGTATACTTAGCAAGAAGGTGAACGAAAGCAATTCTGTATTGGACAAAGGCAAATGACATTTACTATGAAAGAAATACAACAAAAATTCATTGAATATGAAAACATTTTATTTCTTCTTATGAATAGTTTATGCTAATGGCAGCCAGAAAATGTAGTTTAACAACAAAGATAATAATGTAGAAGTAACTAAATGACAACTTTCATCTCAGAAAAGAAGTTCTTATTTCTTGACCGTTGTATTCGTTGTTTCTGCGCTTTCTGTACTGTCATCATCTTCAGTCTCCCTTTCACATGCCCTTAAGAAGAAAAATAAAAAGTATATTTTCAAAATGCTCAAAAATAATTAAGCGATGAATTAAATACATTTTATTTAACACAATTTTAGATTTCAATGGTTGAGATCATAATTCCATTGAAGATAGACCATCATGAAAAACCTGGAAGCACTGCACGGCTGTTTCGTCCTATTGTGGGACTCCTCAGCAATGCGCATCCACAATCCCGACTCACGCGATTCAAATCCAGGATCTATCAGTCTCCCGCTCGAGCGCTTAATCTCTAGACCAGTGGGTCAGGCGGTATCCAACGGTGTTAATACCTAAATTCAATCGATCCACAAAATTGAGCGGTGAATCCACCATTGTCATCAGTGAATTATTATCTCATACCAGACCCGGTTGTTTATTCACTACCAATATTAATTAGCTCAATACATAAACTACGGTTTCTAAGGGTATTGTGTTATGTGATGATGCTGTCCAGAATGTGAATAAAAACTCCATGACTAACCATTTAGCTCAGGCAACATAACACCTTTACAATTTCCCTACTCAGTAACAAATATTCATTATGGAAAGCAGAGATGAATAGTGGCTAGCAGTGGAATCCAGGAAGCGCGTTTCGTCTTATTTAGTACTCGTTAGCTGGATGTACTTGCATCTCAGAGTTGATGTTCACTCTGGGACTCGAACCCATTACCTTTCACAATACACACAGTATGCACATATTCCAATTAGAGACTGACCAGTTGCAGTCCTAACACATCGATGAGAAGATTCAAACAACCAATACTAAATGAATTTAAATATTCATTATGGATCTTATAACTTACACTGTCATTATACGAATTCCTTTTTTATCCTTTTTCTCTTTTTCATTTGGTCTAGAAAAGTCAATATCAGTGTCGCATATTCCATCTTCCACTTTTAAATTCAATTTATCATTTAAAGTATAATTATATCCATTAATACTTAACACCATGGAACCTATGTATTCAAAAAAGAAAGGTAGAGAAGGAATTAACATAAATTTGATATCAACTACTGAATTGCTTTTTAAGTAATCAACTTGATTGATTCTTTATTAGAAATTTCAACACTATTTTTATAGTTCAAATGATGAGTCCATTGAAGCTAGACCACCATGGAAAACCTGAAAGCACTGGATGGCCTTTTTGTCCTATTTTGGGACTCTTCAACAGTGCGCATCCACGATCCCACACTCACGAGATTAGAACCCAGGACCGATCAGTCTCGCGCCAGATAACTGGTGAACGGTTGCTCAAAATCGTGGATTGGTTGAAGTTAGACATTAACACCATTGGATGACTGCCGGCTCAGTAGTCTAGAGGTTAAGCATTCGAGTGCGAGAATGGTAGGTCTTGGGTTCGAAACTCGCGAGTGCGAGATCGTGGATGCACACTGCTGAGGAGTCCTACAATAGGACGAAACGGTCATCTAGTGCTTCCAGGTTTTTCATGGTGGTCTAGTTTCAATTGACTCATGATTTCAACTATGAAAATACTGAAATCTCCACAAAACCCTCTTCTGACTATATGAATTAAGCAAAGATTTATAGATAGAAGTGATATGATAAACAATCCTTAATTCAATTATTACAAATTTAAATGATGAACTCTGTCTTAAACCTGATCAATTTTGTGGATTATTAATTTGGATATGTATAATTGTAGAACCTAAAAAGAATATTCTTTATTCATTTTTATTAACTATTCTGTATATTACTTGATACTCACCATTTGTGTTGATTATAAATGGAGCATTAAAACTTCTCGGCTTGTTGGCCATTATCAAGCTAATGAAAGTTAAACATATCAATGATAAACGAATCATTTTTCTTATCTAAAATATAGAAAATATTAATTATTAGACAAAAAAGTACAAGAAGAAGAAAAAGAAGAAGGAGAAAAAGGAGGAGAAGAAGAAGAGGAAGAAGAAAAAGAAGGATAAGAAGAAGAAGAAGAAGAAGAGGGAAGAAGGGAAGGAGAAGGATAAGAAGAAGGAGGTGAGGAAGAAGAAGAAGAAGAAGGAGGAGGAGGAGGAGGAGGAGGAGGAAGATGATGATGAAGAAGAAGAAGAGGAGGAAGAGGAGAAGAAGAAGAGGAGGAAGAGGAGAAAAAGAAGAACAACTACTACTACTACTACAACATAAACATATTGTAAAATTCAAAATTTACACTTTTAATTTATATTCTGAAATGAAAATTCATTTATAAATATGAGGGTTCATTATTTATAATTTCATAATTATTATATTTTAACCAATTAGATTGATATCAATCAGCTAAATTGATTTTGTTCCCATTACCCCTCCCCAAAAAAAAAAGGAAGAAAACAATATTGATTAGATGTTAATTATAACAAGTTTATCGGATTTCTTTATTTGACAGAAGAATCAAATGAATAGTTCTCATGTACTTAATATATTCACAATATTACAGTTGAAATCATGAGTCAATTGACGATAGACTACCGTGAAAAACCAAGAAGCACTAGACGATCGTTTCGTTCTACTGTGGGACTCCTTTAGGTTTTTCATAGTGGCTTAACTTCAATGGACTTATGATTTCAACTAATAAAATAACTAAAATCTGCACAAAATCCCCTTTTAATATTAACAATAGTTACAGAAATAAATAGAAACAAATGACCCAATAAGAGTAGAGGTTAAACATTCATCATTCTCTATTGTTAGACTTCTAGTTGAAACAGATTATAAGATTGATCTTAACATAAATTTTGTGGGGTTGTAAAAAGAAGTGTAAAAAGGCCTATACTAAAGTTTATGAAGCCGTAGCCATACGAAAATTCAAACACACTTTGTGCATTCAAAAACGGTTTGTTATCACCTTAACCCTACCCTGGCAAATTAGCTTATTATTCAGAGTAGTAAGATTTTAAATCATTTTCACATTATCATTTACTTTATTATCCTTGTCTCCTCTCAACCCCCCATTTCCACTCTAGTTGACCTTTTATATTTATATATAAATGTTCTTAACAAGACGCAGTAGACGCCGAACTTAGGGATCATCAGGCTGGATTCCGTAAGGATCGGTCGTGCACAGACCAGATTGCGACACTACGGATCATCGTTGAACAATCAGTTGAGTGCAACTCATCACTATACGTCAACTTCATCGACTATGAGAAGGCGTTTGACAGCGTGGATAGGAGAACATTGTGGAAACTTCTTCGACACTATGGAGTTCCTCAGAAGATCGTCAACATTATCCAAAACTCATACGATGGATTACAGTGCAAAGTGGTGCATGGAGGACAGCTGACAGATGCATTTCCAGTAAGGACCGGAGTCAGACAAGGCTGTCTACTCTCCCCATTTCTCTTCCTTCTGGTGATTGACTGGATTATGAAGAATTCGACATCTGAAGGGAAATACGGAATACAATGGACTTCTCAGAATCAATTAGATGATTTGGACTTCACAGATGACCTAGCCCTCCTCTCTCATACACACGAACAAATGCAGATGAAGACAGCAAATGTAGCAGCAGCCTCCGCATCGATAGGCCTCCACATTCACAAAGGAAAAAGCAAGATTCTCAAATGCAACACGGAGAACACCAACCCAATCACACTTGATGGCGAAACTCTGGAAGAGGTGGAAACATTCAAGTACCTGGGGAGCATCGTTGATAAACAAGGAGGATCGGATGCAGATGTAAAGGCAAGGATTGGCAAAGCAAGGGCAGCATTTCTACAATTGCAGAACATATGGAACTCAAAACAACTCTCAACCAATTTCAAGGTCAGAATCTTTAATACGAACGTCAAGACAGTCCTACTGTATGGAGCTGAAACGTGGAGAACTACTACCGCCATCATCAGGAAGCTACAACTATTTATAAACAGTTGTCTACGCAAAATACTCAACATCCATTGGCCGGATACTATCAGCAACAGCGTTTTATGGGAGAGGACAAACCAGCTTCCAGCTGAAGAGGAAATTAGGAAAAGACGTTGGAAGTGGATCGGACATACATTAAGGAAATCACCAATGTGCATCACGACTCAATCCCTAACTTGGAATGGTGAAGGGAAGCGGAAAAGAGGAAGGCCAAAGAACACATTACGCCGGGAAATAGAAGCCGATATGAAAAGGCTGAATAGTAACTGGAAAGAACTGGAAAGGAAGGCTCAGTACAGAGTTGGATGGAGAATGCTGGTGAGCGGCCTATGCTCCTCGACGAGGGGTAACAGGCGTAAGTAAGTAAGTAAGTCTTAACAAGTATATCCTGTGTTATTAGATTGTTTGAAATGTATTGCACTAATATCTCATCACATAGTTCTGATAATCTTTATCTTCTTATTACATTATCGAAGTTAATCAAAGGGACTAACTGCTTGAAATTAAAAAAGAAAACATATGTAAACATATAGACTGAAAATTATTCATCATTTAAAATTCAAATAGTTTAAATGTAGTATAGCTGTTCCATATGAACATTATTCTACTACAGTTATGGTATATTCTACTGATGTCTATAGATATAAGTAGTATGTATCATTATCAATCAAAAGTGAAATGCCTGGTAGCAGCAAAAGGTTAAGAAAATCGAAGAGAAAATAAAGAGAACAGAGGATAATTAATGTGGAAACAAAGAAAAAAAATAATTAAATCTGAGACAATTGATTGACTATTTGCAAATAAAGTATATTTACTGTATAATTCTAAGATCTTAACAAGATTTGTGTTCAAAGACATTCTATTGTCTCCACTTCTATGTTCTCGTTCACTACACAGTAACACTTTCTATGTCATAAAAAAAATCAAATTTAAACAGATTTGCAAAATAAAATCATAATCTTAGTTAACAAGATGATATTTTGATCATTTAAGCATAAAATGTACACAACTCAATTTATCGCAATGTTGAGGAGTCCCACGATTAGACGAAACGGTCATCCAGTACTTCCAGGTTTGCCATGGTGATCTAGCTTCAATTGATTCATTATTTCAACTATAAAATTACTATAATATCCACAATAATCCCTTCAGATAATAGTTAATATTACGTTAATCTGCATGACTATGATAAAATAGTTAAATACTTTGAGTACAGTGTTCATTTCAGTGAAAATGAAAATACTAATTTTCAGTTCTTAAAGTTAGATAGTATCCATCTATATGCCCCCAAATACCCTGGTACGGCTGAGAGTGGGGAGGGCCCGCTCTCTCTCTCTCCAAATGCTCTCACATGGCCACGCGTATATAGCCTCTCCCACGGAAGTCCTACTTACTGCCTTCTTGTAGCGAGGGTGTTGTTTACAAAATTGATAGGACAAAATGCAAATATCTGATGCTCTAACCGGGTTGGTGGACACTGTGAGTCCATCTAGGGGAGTTAGAAAATTTTGATTCGAAACCAATTGTTCACTTGGGCTCCAGTATGCTGAGGGAACAAATGACGTATGAATCAATCGTTGGTCACTGGCTACCATGGGACTGCATCTCTTCACGATGCTCCACTGTCTTGTAGATCACATCTCTAGGTCAAAGTCTCCGGGGTGTCACCTCCTTAGAAAACCATCTGTTTCGGTTTGGACACCTGGACAGTATCACTGTTGTCACACAAATGAAATAAGATTTGTATGGTGCATACATATCTGATGCCTCTTTGTACCAATATTTGTAAGTAAATAAATAAATGTTTTAATTTGATTTTTCGAAATGTTTGCGATTTTTAAAACATTCTTTACATCACAAATTTATCGAACTACATCAGATTTGATTTGATTTAACTTCAATAGTTTTCCAGTCAATCAGAACTCCTTCAATATAAAGGGATTTACTTAAAACAAGAAATAATACTGTTGTTGTACTACCGAAATAACTGTTTAATAAACCAATAAATGAACTGAAACACATTAATGTTTAGCAAAGATGGATAGCGGCTAGCAGTGGAATCCAATTTGACGCGTGTTACATCCTATTTGGGACTCGTCAATTGAATGTACCTGTATCTCATACTTGATTTTCACTCTGGAACTCCTATTTGAGTTGATAACTCAATGACATTTGAAGCAAACGGTATTAGTTTCGAATCCCATAGTGAACATTAACTCTGAGTTACAGATACAACCAACTGACGAGTCCCGAATAAGACGAAACGCACGTCCTGTATTCCACTTTCAGCCACTATTTATCTTTGCTTAAAATCCATCCTACTTTACAAACATAATCAGCTTATTATATTTAGTCATATTCAATATAAGATATATATATATATATATATATATATATATATATATATATATATATATATATATATATAAGATATTAGATTATTTGAAGTATTCTAATCGAAATAATTGTCCAGATAATAGATCTCTACTGAAAAGTAAACTAACCAATTTAAGATTTATTAAATAACCATGTCAAAACTAGATAATGATTAAGAACATAATTAGTCTTGTCAATCTAATACACATTTTTCCTCATTTCATAATTGTCCACTTTACTAAGTAATCAATTAAGTAGTTAATCAATTTAAATATGAAATTGTTTCACATTGACAATCAACTATGTGTCCACAGATTATATATAATAACTATTAGATAAATAGAATCATGGTAAAGAAGGGATTACTGAATTGATTGTGTTTTGTTAAGTGAGTATATTAAATTTGTTTAATATTAATGAAGTATATACATAACTGAATTAGTGAATAATTTAAGTTCAGTTTAGAAGTTTAATTGATAAAGAAGACAAACTACAGAAGGGGATTTTGTGAAGATTTTAGTGGTTTTATAGTTAAATTTATGATTCATTTGAAACTAGATCACTATGGAGAATCTGGAAGTACTAGACGGCTATTTAGTTCTATTGTAAGACTCCTCATCAGTGTGCATCCACGGTCCCAATTTGCGAGATTTAAACCTAGAACCTATCGGTGTCACGTGCGAGCGCTTAACAACTAGACAACTGAGCCAGCCGGCATCCAACGGTGTTAATGTCTAACTTCAACTGATCCACGAAGTTAAGCGACACATTCACCATTGTCTTCAATGAGTTACTATCTCACAACAGACTGGGTTGAGCTCCACTGGTCACTGCTTCTCACTAGAACTCCAGGAAATACCTCTTGAAGCTAGTTACTAGTGAGCATATGTTTTTTATCAGAAGGTGGTTTTGTGGAAATTTTCGTAATTCTGTAGTTGAATTCATGAATCAAACTATAGTTGATTTCTTGCTCATAAAAAACAATTAGATCATTTATAAACATACACACACATACAAATTTCTGGCATTCATTTGAAGATAGACCACCATGAAAAATGTAAAAGCATTGGATGGTCGTTTGAATCTCGAGAGGCAGCATCATGGATACGCACTGACGAGGAGTCCTCTAATAAGAGGAAACGCCCGTCCAATGCTTCCAGGTTTTCCATGGTCATCTAACTACAATTGAATCATGAATCCAACTATAAAATTACTAAAATCTCCAACAAAAACCCCTTTTGATAAAAAAGTCTTCAAACATCAAAACTATTATGCTAAGAAAATAAGTAAACATAATTTCTGTATTATTGAAAGTATAGACAATTATGAAAAACTTAATGTTACATCTTATTTTATTTATTTATTTATTTATTTAAACAAATAAATATTGGTAAAAAGAGGCATCAGATATATATGCACCACACAAATCTCATTTGATTTGTGTGAAGGCTGTGATACTCCCCAGGTGCGTAAAATGAAACAAGTGGTTTTCTTAGGGGGTCACACCCGTAGCTTTCCACCTAAATGTCTGATCCACAAGGCAGTGAAGCATCATGAAGAGATGCAGTTCCATGGTAGCTGGTGGTCAATAATCGGTCCATAAGTCATTTGTTCCCTCAGGATACTGGATCCTATGTGTACCATTGGTTTAGAAGGAGGGTTTTACAACTCCCCCGAATGAGTCCTCCGTATCCAACACCCAAGACAGTGAGTAGAATTTCCCTGACATTAGCTATATACTCGTGATCATGTGAGAGTATATCGAGAGGGTGAGCAGACTCTCTTCCTCACTCTCAGCCGTAATAGGGAACATTTGGGGGCGTTACATCTTATTAATAAATTTTTTTTTACTTTTTTTTGCTCATTATCTTTTCCTAGAAACATTTTACACAAAAAAAACAAAGAAAAGAAAAGAGAGAAAAATCGATGGCTTATTCAATTATAACAATATTTAGTTTATTTATTTTGAGTATTTCTACTGTGATGACTAAATTGATTCATATTCCTATAAAATTTGATAAATATGGTAAGTTATAATTTCTTGTTCTTATTATTATCATTATGAATGATTATCGTTAATAACAATTAGACAGTAACTCTTTTGTTCAAAGGTACTATGTTCGTTCCCTCTCACTCACCCTCTCTTGTTCATGATCCCGAAGGTATTTAGTAAAATCTTTAAAGTGAGTCATCAGTAAGGATTATTGAGAAATTCTTCTCCCAAATGCTCTGGTACGACCGAGAGTGAGGGGGAGAGTTTGCTTTCCTTCTCGAAATGCTCTCACATGGCCACGCTTATATAGCCTCTAACAGGGAAGTCTTACTCACTGCTTTCCTGTAGCGGGGGTGTTCTCTACGAAATTGAGAAAACGAAAAGAGAGTGTCCGGCGCTCTAACCGCGTTGGTGGACACGGATAGTCCACTTAGGGGAATTGGAAAACCCTCCTTCCAAACCAATGGTACACATAGGATCCAGTATCCTGAGGGAACAAATGACTTATGGACCGATTATTGACCACCAGCTACCATGGAACTGCATCTCTTCATGATGCTTCACTGCCTTGTGGATCAGACATTTAGGTGGAAAGCTACGGGTGTGACCCCCTAAGAAAACCACTTGTTTCATTTTACGCACCTGGGGAGTATCACAGCCTTCACACAAATCAAATGAGATTTGTGTGGTGCATATATATCTGATGCCTCTTTGTACCAGTATTTATGTGTTCAAATAAAAATTAAAAAACCTCCCTAAAACGAAGTAGCCATTCAGTACTCCCTGGTGTTAAAATAGTTTACAAAAGTCAAGTATTGTAGTATAAAGAAAATGTCTGACCCATAAATTATTTTCTTCCTCATCCCTTGATTAGTATGTAACCTCATTTGTTATTTATTGTCGAATCAATTTGTAATGTAATCTTTCCCAGCCTCCTGTAGATATATATTTTCCCAATTGATTGACAACTGGGTGGTGATCAATATCATGCGTGTCAAACCCTTCTTAGTGATGATCGAATGCTATCGATCTAGGTGACTCGACACTGCGTGCACTAAGAAGGACTTGACACGCATGACATTGATCACCACCCAGTGATCAATCAATTGTGATTACATCTCAGTCCTACAACAGGTCGGTCAAGGCCCGGATAACTTAGTGGTAATATCTTTGACTGTTAAACTGAGTGACACGACATCGAGTCTGTCAGGGAGTATCAGTTCCCCAAGATTACACGTACACCTTGCTGACGAGTGCCAAGTAGCACGAAACCCGGGTCCAGGGTTTCCTGACCACCTCCAACCACCATCTTATATGTATTTTCCATATAACTATATTATACTTAATGTACAGATTAAGTAAATGATTTCGTCAGATAGAAAATTGTCTTTAAGTCTTACTTATTGTATACTAATCAGCCTTATCTTCAACGTTAGGCGAGTTCAACTTCCTGAAGTTCACAAATTGATCTCTTTCGGTACCTCATTGACTTTCGAAACTAATCTTTACACAACTGGACTCATCCTTTGTATAAAAAATGTCAAAAATTAAAAGACAAATTAAGTAACAGATATGATACCATTCAGTTAATTGATTATAACATTATTCTCAAAGATAAACTAAAGTTGTAGTAGTAATGAGCTGGGATGTTCAATGGTGACTAAAGCATTTTTCCGACTGACCGAACTGGATTAATGCTAATGATTGTATTACAGTTTAATGACTAAATTTATTAATGTCAACTACAACGTAGGACCAGACACATATATGCATCGGTTCAAGTTTCCATACCTCATTAGTACAATAAGATGAACACCGGATTCATAGAAGTAATTAATTTAGTGGTGGTAATATATAAAAGAAAGATTGTATAAAAGGATATAATATAGGGAAGAAGACAGATATGAAGCAGTTTTATTCTCAAGGTTTAAGGGAAGATAAAAAGTGTATACACCTACGCCATTGTGATCGATTCTGAGCCATGTCACACAGAGTCTCCAAACATTGGTTACGATAGTCACGCGGACCCCAACCAAGTAGTCTGCATCTACCAACATGGCTTAGACTAGAAGTTAGTGACTTCAAGCTCTGATGCCACGTTTTGGTTTGGCAACCCCAACAATTCTTCCAACTTACATATTCAATAAGGTTGAAGGAAATACCTTCTAGTCAATGGTCAAAGATTTTTATCGAAATAACAAGCATCAGCTAGAAAACCATTGAGAAACAAGATTATATAAATGTTTGGAATTACGTAGTTGAGCTATTCTATGACTATATCTAGCACTATATTGAAGATATGAAGTCATATTAAATTGCATTTACTACGTAGTAACATTCAATTGCAATTTATCCGAAATATAGCTCGATTATCATCTATTACAAACACTCTTAATTTCTTCTGAAGACTCTACAGTTCGTATTAGGGAATTATGGTGAATCAGTTGATGAGATCATGAATCTTCATCACCTGAGATGGTTGGGTCACGTGCTACGTATGCCTGAACACCGATTATCATGACGCGCTATGCTGGCTAGTATTGGCGATGGTTGGAAGAGAGTTAGGGGCGGCCAAACCAAAACGTGGCATCAGAGCTTGAAGTCACTAACTTCTAGTCTGAGCCATGTTGGTAGACGCAGACTACTTGGCTGGTGTCCGCGTGACTATCGTAACCAATGGTTGGAGACTGGGGGACATGGCTCATAATCGATCACAATGGCGTCGGTGTATGGACTCTTTATCTTCCCTTGAGATTAAAATTGTTTCATAACTTTTTTTCCTTCCTGTACTAGATCCATATATACAACCTTTCTTTTATATATTACCACCACTAAATTAATTACTTCTATGAATCCGGTGTTCATCTTATTATACTAATGAGGTATGGAAACTTGAACCGATGCATATGTGTGCCTGGTCCTATGTTGTAGCTGATTGACTACAGGTCGTGAATTCTTACTAGAATTCTGAAATACCCGTCTCGAAACAAGTTGATGATTTTTCAATTATAAATATTTGTTTGACTGAAACTAATCTTCGATAATAACCTTCTGTACATCAGACTTTGTTCAAAATCATTAGGAAAGACTAATGCTTAAAGGAAATAAATTTAATGTGTTTATTCCAATTGAGGTACATTGTTTAAACTGAATTAGATAATCGTTAATCACAGTTTAGTTCTAATCTCTAGAAAAATTTGGTTCTTATTTTTATAAACTAAATGGTCAAAAGACTGAGTACTTAAAGCAATTAATCCTTTTTATAAATTTCGATAGAACAATGAGAAGATGGAGTTGATCTGAAAAATGTTGATGCATTTACACTATGCATTTCGAACAACCTGGTCACACCTATACTTGTCAAGGAGTTTTATGTGAAAATTAATAAACGTCAATTAAATGAGCAGTGACCAGTGGAGTTCAACCAGGTCTGTTGTGAGATAGTAACTCATTGAAGACAATGGTGGATGTGTCGCTCAACTTCGTGAATCAGTTGAAGTTAGACATTAACACCGTTGGATGCCGGCCGGCTCAGAGGTCTAGAGGTTAAGCGTTCGAGCGCGAGAGTGGTAGGTTCTGGGTTCGAAGCTCGCGAGTCGGGATCGTGGATGTGCATTGCTGAGGAGTCCCACAATAGGACCAAATGGTCGTCCAGTGCTTCCAGTTTTTCAATGGTAGTCTGGTTTCAATTGACTCGTGATTTCAACTATCAAAATTAAGTAATAATTGTAAATAAAGGGGAGAAGGAGAGAAATCTTCATTGTATACAAAGAATAGGAAATCATTGCATTATCCTAGGTCATTAAATGACTAAAGGATTACAAAGCAAATTCAAGGTTATGACAAATTGTTTTTGCACACATAAGGGGGGGAGGTAAATTTACGATTAGACAAGGATTATATAAACCAAAGAATTCGTCTATGACAATTTTTGTACAACGTTTTAAAAGCAGTATTGATGTCGATTCTGTGCCCCGTTTCAATTATGTGCTTTGCTATAGATCAACGTGGTTTTCTACTTCCCGCGTTCACCTGAGTATTTTAAGCTAAATGGTTTCGAAGCCATATAGACACATGTTCCATAATCCTTGATCCCATATATGCGTGCCCACACAAACGTGTAAATTGGTAAACGCAATGGTATGCGAAGCAATCTTTCGTGCATTATCTCAGTCTATTTAGAATCATGAGCTTAGTCTTTTCAAACGCAACTATTTTAGTAGCGTAATAGGTTTTCTTGTTGACTACTTTTGGTCTCTGCCTTAAAACCATACTGTTATATTCACTTCTAAATAGTAAAGAGAAAAACAATTTTCTTTGCAACAGAATGAACGAGGGGATTTTGTGTTGATTGACTCTTTCACCTATTTATGAAATTTCGTGGATAGTTATTTGAGATAAGTGTATCAGTCAGCAGTTTCGAGTCTTCTTCAACCATACCTGTGGTGCATTTTCTTTGAATCCTGTTAACGAGTACATAATATGAACTTACTTACTTACGCCCGTTACTCCCAATGGAGCATAGGCCGCCGTCCAGCATTCTCCAACACACTCTGTTCTGGGCCTTCTTTTCTAGTTCTATCCAGTTTTTGTTCATTCTTCTCATGTCTGTCTCTATTTCTCGGCGTAATGTGTTCTTTGGTCTTCCTCTTCTCCTTTGACCTTCAGTATTCCATGTAAGGGCTTGTCTTGTGACGCAGTTTGGTGATTCCCTCAATTTGTGTCCTACCCACTTCCACCACTTCTTCCTGATTTCTTCCTCCACTGGATGGAATCTGGTTTGTTGTCTCCCACAGTAGCTTGTTGGTGATAGTGTCTGAAGAACTGATCCTATGTATCTTTCGTAGACAACTGTTAATAAACACTTGTATCTTCTGAATGATTGCTTTCATAGTTCTCCAAGTTTCCACCCCATGCAGTAGAACTGTCTTAACATTTGTATTGAAAATTCTGATCGTGGTGTTGTTTAAAAATTGTTTAGAGTTCACAATAGATGACTATAATTGATAAATATGAGCTACATAACCTAATCTAATCGCTTTCTTTTTTCTCAAAAAAGAACTAAATTACTGATATAGTTTAAAGTAGTTCAACTGATTTTATACAAATTTTGATAATGTTACCCATATATATAAAAGATAATAATCATTCATTAATAATCAATTTATTGATTATTCATAAGTAGTAATCTTATGTTAACCCTTTATTTCCCTTTTTATCCTTTATCTATTTCTATCTTACATAATTAGATAATATGTATACAGAATTTGAAAACTTAGATTTTTATTTAATACACAATTTAACATTAATCATTAAAGATGATATATGTGCAACAATTATTGATTTTACACGACCTACTGATGTTGAAATTCAAACAAAATCCGGTTATCGTAATGTAACTGAGTAAGTTTATTTAGTTGTTAAATGAATATAGTATATTTTTCTTAAAAATTATTAAAGAAAATAGTCTATTTAATGTCCGGTGCTTTAACCGGGTTGGTGGATACGGAAAGTCCACCTAGGGGAGTTGGAAAATCCTCATTCCAAACCAATGGTGCATATGAGCTCCAGGATCCTGAGGGAACAAATGACGTATGAAACAATCATTGGTCACCGGCTACCATGGGACTGTATCTCTTCACGATGCTCTACTGCCTTGTGGATCAAACATTTAGGTAGAAGGCTCCGGGTGTAGCCGCCTAAGCAAACCACCTGCTTCAGTTTGAGCACCCGGGCAGTATCACAGCCCTCATACAAATCAAATGAGATTTGTGCGATGCATATTTTCAGCTATATCCAATTGATAAATCTCAGTAAGCTTATTTTTCTAAAATTCTGAATTAACATTAATGATATATGATTACATTTTATTGATTATTTTAAGCACATGTGGAATTTGGATTAAAAATCCATCAAAAGGTTTAAGATCCAGGAGACCAGAATAAAATACAAATACAAACCAACAGAACCTACATGATCATGATGGACCAGTATCATATTACAACACCGAAATTATTGATGAAGCCATTCTGTTTGTGTGGAAATAAAAACAGACACTTAACTTATCAGCAATTGATAAATTGAATAAACTGTTTTCTTTTTCTTGAAAATCATGAGTGTTTGTTATTAGTCAGTGGAACATTAACAGTTTTGGGGAACCTATTCAGTCATCAGTTCAGCTAGATGAAACTATCAAGACAAATACCAGAGTATTAGAAATAGCAACATCATCAATAGTTGTAGGAAACATTTGGGGATAGGTAGTACAGTTTCAAAAAGAGTGAATTTGTGGAGTAGAAACTATGAGTATTCTAAGAGAACTAGTGAATGTGTCTGTACCATTGAAACCGATTCTGCGTTATGCAACCCAATTTCTAACTGTTAGCCATGATAAACGCACTGATCGCAACTACGTAGTCCACACCTATCTACAAAGCTCAACTCAATAGTTGGTGAGTTCATGTGCTGACATCAAGTCTCAAAATGGTTGTCCTTAGTGATTTTTTAACCCACTCTTATATCAACCAATATCGCGTGTCGAAGTAGGCTCCAAAACTAATGAAAACCTGGAAGTAATGAAAGGTAGTCTCTTTCTTACTAGTTTAGAATGACTTATAAGTTAGTCATTCTAAACATAGACACTTGGCATAAATGTATGTCAGGTTAATTTTACATACGATATTAACACAGTAAGATGAATACCAAATTAATACGAGTAGTAACGTCAGTAAAAAAAGAGTCTAGAGAAACAGGTTATAGTTTAAAATATTTAAAACAAATCCATTAAGTCCCATAATCTCTGTGGTCTTGATGTGTGAGCGAGAATGATAATCTTTGGTTGTTTAGCTTAGTCAGACATGTAGATAGTGTGACAAGTGTTATGTATTCCCCTATCCTTATTACTTATTATTGATTGATTGTTCATTGTTGTTGGATTGTGTCGGGTTTTGGTGTGGAAATATATTTACGTTCTAGTCAGGCTAATCACCTGTTCTGGATCTGAGCTGTGTTGAAGTCCTGTAGAATAGACACTGGGAGTGAATTTAGTGTAAATAATCGTCTAAGGCAAATTAACGTCCCACATACATGTAAAAAGGAAAAGAACTGTTATAACAGGTCTTCACTCCCAGAAAAATTTCGGGTTACCATCCAAACTTCACAATCCGAATATTTTACTTGTTTCTGTACATGAAATTTCTTTCTCAATTTCATTACTGAACGTAGTTCAAAGAGCGCACAACACTTAGCTGATAACCCTTCACTCAAAACTGTGATGTACTAAAAGCTTGTGAATAATTACTCGTTTATCATAACGAGCTGTCTTCTTCAATGCCATGCTACTCGAACGTTTTTCACATCCATTCAAGTGAAGTAGGTATATCACTAAGGATAAGTGTTAGACTTGCAATCGTATGGAAATGGATATACAACCTCCCCCAGCCACTAGCTACCACGATGGGTCGACTCAATTTCGGAGTAGTTTAAAAAAAATTGAGAATGATGAGACCACGATCAGTTCACAAATCACTGGAGTTTTATCTGAGCCGTGATTGGGGATCTGAACTCTAGGGCTGTCTTATGTAATAATTCCGACCAACGGTTAATCATTTTAGATCGTATGGTTTAAAAAAGGTTACTGTAGCATCGATACATTCATGAATTATATCAACTCATATATTATGTGGATCTCGATCAAACAACTAATCTCATTCGTAATTCCTGACCGCTGTTGCTACCTTGACGTGGTGCTCGGGCTTGCCTATCGTGAACCAATCGAGCTATACTGGCTGGAACAATCGTTCCTCAAGGTCTTAACATGCCAGGCAGGTCGGTTGAAGAGCGGTAAGACTAAAAGCAGTAAACCCAAGGTCCAAAGACGAAGACGTACTGCTGACTGTACAGAGGTGTGACAGCAGTGAGGTATTTCCTTCAGACAACCAGCATAACAGCGATGCTGCCTTCCCACAAGGAGGGGTGGGGTTAGAAAAGGTCGACCCTAAAAATACACACCTCGCCTTATCCTACGGATATCCGCCTCCGTCGGTAAGGTACCAACAAGTACGCAGCTAACATAAAAATTACCCGCAAAAAGGTCGTTTGTGACCGACCTCAAGCAGTTGTCCCTTGGGCACTAAGATCACGCTATCAGGTCATTAAGACCACTTCTAACCCAATTTCCTTTTCAGGTACCCCTGGAAGAACCCTTCCACGGTGTGGGCAACAGGGAAGTGATAACTGCCTTCATACCTTTAACCTCACTCAAGCCCACTGTATTCTTTAACAGCACATTCGTAATTATATTATCTACATTTATTGTGGCTATTAAACCCATAATCCTACTTAATATATAAACTTACTGAAATTAACACTGAATCCTAGTCACTTTAATGTCGAGAATGAAGTTTTACAAACAATTGTAAATTCATAAGCTACAATTTTAAAAAAACTGTATTCTCTTTAAAATTGAACATTCTTTTGGAGCATCAGTTTCGATGTGTAACCGTAAAATTTGATAAGAACTTATTGAAAAGAATATTTCTTTTATGTATCAGTGTTTTAGTGAGGATTCCTTCATGAGTGCTTTTGTTTGTTGGCGTCTATTAAAACCAAGCAATATTATACATCACAAAACTAAATTTTATGGAGCGCAGGCCTAATGGTCAAGGCATTTGACTCTCAACTATAAAGTCCTAGGTTCGGACCGTGCTCTGTTGTTTCAAGCGAGTACGTAGAATCACTAGTCGAAATACTTAGAGTGTGACTCATGCTTAAGTAACTAGTGAGTGAATTAATTAAAAATTTAAAAAAACATTGTCACAGAATTACTCATGGTTTCGTTGTTAATTTGCACGACTAAAATGTGTCAGTGTTTTCCATCTTTCTAGCATGGAAAACATAAAAGCTAGAGAATCGATGTAAAACGTTAGTTCCAATATGCGCAAAACGGGTACTAGGTAAGGATGGTAAATCGATTGATGAGTTAGTAAAACTTCATCAGTTGAGATGGCTGGGACACGTGTTACGTATGTCCAACCACCGACTGCCCCGACTTGCAATGCTTTATGGTGTAGGAGTAGGTTGGAAGAAAGCTAGGGGCGGTCAGACCAAAACGTGGCACAAATCCATGAAGTCGCTGACAATTGGACTGAGCCATGTTGGTAGGTGTAGACTACCTGGTTGGGATTCGCGAGATGATAGCCACCGATGGTTAGAGACCTTGAATGACATGGCTCAAAATCGTTTGCAATGACGAAGGTGCATCCACTCTTTGTGTTCTGTCAAATTCTAATCTCCTGAATTCTTCATGTCTCTATCCTTTTTCTCTTTCCAAATTTATTTCACTGTATTATACTCCTTCAATAACATCTTCAAACCATAATCTTTCACATAATACTTATACTCTTACTACTTCTACTACTATGGGATTTGAATCGACAACCGTATCTCTGTGCTAATGTGGCATGGCAACTCGAACTGATGTACGTACGTACGAAGTTCTACGTTGTGACTAACTGACTGAATATGTGCAAAAAACTATTTTAAAAAAACCTTAACATTTGATGTACAACAGAAATGTAACTGTTATATCCCCCGGTGAATCACGAATGTAACTTTTATGTCTCTTATGGATCAATGTAATATGCCTATTTCCTATTGTACAATTATTACGTAACTGAACTATTCATATTCGTATTTCTCTTATCATTAGCTTTATTTTAACCTTGACTTATTATCATACGATTCTTTAGTTATAATCAGTTTATTGATTACTTTGGTTTGTATAAAAACCCAGTGTGTTTGTAAATAATGATTCATACCACTGAGGCTGTTATTGGTGTTTTGGACTTAACTGGTTTGGCTAGGCAGATCGCAGGATCGGTTAGCACTGTAGACTGCTCGTACGGTTTCGTGTGTCACTGTTCCAATTGATAATTCGTTGCTCTCTAATTGGCGGTCTTATCAAGTCATACATCAACTAGTCATCCACTCGGCCATAAGATATAACAGTAACAAAAGTTTATGATTGTATTTTACACTGAGCAATAAAACTACATACGGAATGACTTTATACTTCAAGTCTGTAGAGAAGTAGCAAATTGACTTTCGGCATTCAAATTTCGTTGAACAGTTAATTTGGACAGAATCCTATAGTCAACAGTTTTAACTCCTTTGAACATAGAAGGATCTGTTTCATCGGTTTCAAATCCTAGTTTCTCAAAGAACTTATTGGCACTTTTATTCGACTTGAACACTGTCAACATAACACGATGCATATTCAATGCCAATGAAATAGACAATAGTAGATTCATTAAAAATGTTCCAATATGTAAATGACGAAACTGTGGATATAACTGGATCTCATAACAATATAACACAGGATGCTCTTCTTCACATTCGAACCGAAAACTAACAAATCCAGCTATTGACTGATTTTCAGAAGTTTGACAACGACAAATAATTAACCAAGATTTTGATGAAAATGCTTCAGCTCGTTTAGCTTCTGCATTCCAACCCCACGACGATGAAATATACAAACTCTAAACAAATTGTTTATTTATAAAAAGAACAACAGTTACTTGCATATTTTCTTGAAGTAGTTGCATTAATTCGTCAACAACTGCTACATCAACTTTAGATGCTTTTATGCATTCAACAGTGATAGCATTATTTACATTTAGGTAGTCAGGAATTTCTAGTGATATATTGAGTTCCTTAGTTAAACAAGATATTTTGTTAGCGCTATTAACTAACTCCTTTGCTTTAGACTTTTTGTAGGAGATCAATCCACCATTTCTATTTTTAATACAATGTCTTCCCATCTGTTTTCAATGACAATACGAAATATCGACAGAAATGGGGCCTAAGTAATAAAAAAAACAAAAAAAAATAGTCTTTTTAGTATGACAGTTATTTTAAGGATAAGTACTGCATTAAATAGGCCTTGTTTTAAATAAATCAAACCAATACAATAGGAAGGTACAAGTATTTATAAACAGATGTCTACATAAAATACTCAACATCCATTGGCCGGATACTATCAGCAACAGCGTTTTATGGGAGAGGACAAACCAGCTTCCAGCTGAAAAGGAAATTAGGAAAAGACGTTGGAAGTGGATAGGACATACATTTAGAAAATCACCAATGTGCATTACAAGGCAATCCCTAACTTGGAAGGGAAGTGGAAAAGAGGAAGGCCAAAGAACACATTACGCCGGGAAATAGAAGCAGATATGAGAAGTATGAATGTTAACTGGAAAGAACTGGAAAGGAAGGCTCAGGACAGAGTTGGATGGAGAATGCTGGTGAGCGACCTATGCTCCTCGACGAGGGGTAACAGGCGTAAGTAAGTAAGTAATACAATAGCAAATTTAAAACGGTTATTAAGTGGTTTTCTGGCTGGATTATGAACTTTGTTTATCAATTTATCTTAAAAAAGCGTAACACTAGGAAAAAGCAAACAATAATTACATATTTCTAAACACACGCATTGACTGCGCTTAATACTACCACGATGTGAACTAATATTCTTACTGGGTGATATATTCAATAAAAGGTTAAAAAGATCTAATAATAATATGGATGGTTTACAATAACTTTCCTTTACACATATGTTACGATAATACGTTAATAAGACTAATTATGTTATATCAAAACCAAGATTTGCGACCCAATATGGAGAACCAGATTAACACTAGAGAATACTTTATTTAATAAAATTACAAGCAGTCACTCACAGCGAGCACTAACGCTTGCTACTCCAAGCAGGTCATCTGTAAAGTCCAAATCGTCTAGTTGCATCCAACCTGTCCATTGTATTCCGTACTTCCCCTTAGATGTGGAGGTCTTCATAACCCAGTCAACTACCAGAAGAGATAGGGTGAGAATAAGCAGCCTGTCTGACTCCGGTCCTCACTTGGAATGCGTTTGTCAGCTGTCCGCCATGCACGAATTTGCTGTGTAGTCCGTAGTATGAATTCCGGACGTATGTTTGTGGGAGAACATTGTGCCACCTATATTCATATTGTTCAGTACACATAAACTTGTGAATTTCTCGCCATTTTCGATCCTTTCTCCCAGTCCTTGTCATACCATGATATATTCATACCCAGTGTGGTATATTCTGACTTTGAAGTTTAAATCACTCATCAAGATGGTCGGCTACTTTCCTGAACACTTCACTATGATCAATTGCAGCCTCCCGTAAAACTGATCTCTGTCGTCATCGTCTAAATCATTGGTTGGCTCATAACGCTGGATAATATTCATTGTTATTTCCTCCATCTTTCCTTTGGAAGATACTTTGATGATCCTGGATCCATGAGATTCTCATCCTATAAGTGCATTACGTGCTTCTTTGGACAGCATCAGAACAACCCCCGGAGGGTGCCGAACATTTTCTCCTCCATGACCACAATACAGCAACATGTCTCCCTAACTTATCCTTTTTTGTCCAGCTTGAATCCAGTAAGTTTCACTTATTCCCGGCACCACCAATTTGTATCACCTCATTTCCGCAACCAACTACCCACTATTCCCATAAAACCTGAATGGAACATTGAAGTAGGCCAACCGACCCTACTTGAAGTTCAAAAAGCTATAAGTAATTAGAAACGAGGAAGAGCAGCTGGTCCAGATGGATTGGCTCCAGAGGTCTTTAAATATGGTGGTCCAATTTTAGCGATTAGGTTGACTAATATTCTGGTTAAAATCTGGAAGACGGACGTAATCCCATCTGACTGGTCACAATCTCTGATTGTCCCAATATATAAGAAGGGGTCAAAATCATCCTGTGATAACCATAGAGGGATTAGTCTGACTAACACAGTATCTAAAATACTAACCTCAATAATTATCGGGCGCCTAACTAAGACTCGTGAACTGCAAACACGAGAAAATCAGGCTGGCTTCAGACCTGGTCGTGGCTGCATCGACCACATATTCACCATTCGTCAATTTTTAGAGCACAGATATTATTTATTATTTATTTATTTAAACACATATATATTGGTACAAAAGGGCACCAGGTACATATGCGCCACACAAAATAATGAAAGTAGGTAGATAAAGGATGAAAAGATAAGGCGGGCTGAAATGTACAATCAGAAGATTCTTTCAGTTAGGAAAGTTAGAACCATTCTTTATGTAGAAAGTAAAAGAAGGTTGCAGCAGGATCGCCACTGGCTTCTATTCTGAGCCATATCCGATAACGTCTCTAGCCACTGTGTTGCACTATCTCTCAGACCCCAACCAGGGAGTCGTAAAGGACCAACGGAAGCTAGCCCTTTGCAGCTCTCTTTCATGCCACGACACCATGTCATACACTGACCTCCTCTCCGCTTTCTCCAACCAGTCCCAGGGTCGGCAAATAATGCACGACGCGGAAGTCTCTGGGACGACATTCGTAAAACATGTCCGAGCCACCGAAGTCGGTGTTTCAAGATGGTGACACCAATTGAATTATCGTCTCTGCGCCCGAACACACGATGCCGAACCTCTGCATTACTAACATGGTGTTGCCACTGGATGTCAGCAATCCTTCAGAGACAACGATGATCGAACACAGAGAGACGTCTAACATCCTCAACTCGGAGAGGCCAGGTTTCACAAGCATAGAGCAAAACTGCTCTCACCGACGCGTTGTAGATCCGACCTTTTACAGCCAGACTAACATAAAGAAGGCGCCAAAGATGGCCCAGATTGGCATAAGCCGCTCTGGGCACAGATATGCTTATCGGCGTCCGACAATGATAGTTTTTCTTGACTTGAAAGCAGCATTTGACTCTGTAGACCGAGAGGTTCTGTGGCAGTGTCTGTCATTGAAACGTGTGCCTCAGAAGAACATAAACCTTGTGAAGGCTCTTTACTCAAACACTACCAGTCGATTGAGAGCTTATGGCGAACTGTCATATGATTTTACAACCTCAAGTGGTGTCCGTCAAGGCTGTCCACTATCCCCATTTTTGTTTAACTTCATTATAGACCTGTTGCTGGAAATAACACTCTCGTCGACTGAATTTCCTGGAATTGATCTTCTACCAGGAGGTTCACTTATCGACTTAGAATACACAGATGACATAGTCCTGTTTGGTGAAGACACTGACAAAATGCAGAGTCTTCTGTTGGAACTCAGTAATAATGCCAGGATGTTTGGGATGCGTTTCTCCCCATCTAAATGTAAATTGTTACTCCAGGACTGGCCTGCGTCAACACCTGAACTAAGGATAGGGAGTGAAGTAGTCGAACGCGTAAACAACTTCACTTATCTTGGAAGTCTGATCAGCCTTAATAGGTTGGTGTCTGACGAAATCTCAGCACGGATTCAAAAAGCTCGTTTGGCTTTTGCCAACTTGTCACCTATGGCGAATACGAGATATCCGCCTATCAATTAAGGGACGAGTATACTGCACAGCAGTTCGTTCTGTTTTACTCTATGGCTGCGAAACATGGCCATTAAGAGTAGAAGATACTCGTAGGTTACTAGTATGTGACCATAGATACCTTAGAAATATTGCTCACATCTGCTGGGATCACCGGGTAAGTAATAGTGAGGTTAGACGCAGGGTATTAGGGAATGATGGTAAATCACTTGATGAGGTCATGAATCTTCATCGACTGAGATGGCTGGGCCACGTATTACGTATGCCTGAACACCGATTACCACGACGCGCAATGTTGACTAGTGTAGGGGATGATTGGAAGAGAGTTAGGAGCGGCCAAACCAAAACGAGGCATCAGAGCTTGAAGTCACTAACTTCTAGTCTGAGCCATGTTGGTAGATGCAAACTACCTGGTTGGGGTCCGCGTGACTATCGTAACCAATGGTTGGAGACTGTGGGTGACATGGCTCAGAATCGATCACAATGGCGTAGGTGTATACACTCTTTATTTTCCCTTAAACTTTGAGATTAAAATTGCCTCATAACTTTTTTCCTTCCTATACTATATCCTTATATACAACCTTTCTTTATATATTACTACCACTAAATTAATTACTTCTATGAATCCGGTGTTCATCTTGTTGTGCTAACGAGGTATGGCAACTTGGACCGATACATATATGTGCCTGGTCCTACGTTGTCGCTGACTGACTGACATTTCCGCAACTAAGTGACTGGTCCTCCAAGCCTCTTACATTGTCCGAACATTCCATGTATCTATAATAATTGTTGCTCTGATTGTTAGGAACATCGGTCTAGTAACTTCCGAACAATATCGGATTTCACTATGAGGTGTCATAATTCTTCTGAATGAAGATCTTTCAACTTCCAGGGCACAGTTTAAATGGTTTAATTTGTTTATTATGGCTAGCTTTTTTAGCAAGGTCGTTTTCTACTGAATGCGGTTGCTGACCTTATACCTAACCCTCCGTTAAGCGGGCTTGAGACCGACAGTAACCTTAGAAGTGCTACAGGAGGAACACACAGTCAGTCCAGAATAGAAATCAATGACAGGGAAAAATACATATTTAACAGACCTTGGGCTGTGGATTTTTTTGACTTTTAACGACCAACCATATTTTACTTCACTTACACATAATAATAGTAATAATAAGGTGGTGTACCAATGTACGAACGACCAGAATACGGTTAATCACTGATACTCGTTCAGAAGTGTAACTAGTCAAATATATCTAACGTCTTTACCAATACACAACAAAGTAGTATGAGAACTTTACCTACAAGAGATATCCAAGCACGATAATCCATTCACGTTGATTGTTATGATTTACAATGTTAACCGAAATACCCATTTACAGCTTCTTACTGTAACTGCCTGACTGAAATCAAACTATTACCCCAAACAGTGATAATCAGCAGAA